CCGATGACTTTCACAGCTCTCATCCGGCCATATCAGGTATTTTCGTCTGTAATTGATTGCACGAACTTTAGAATCTGTCCAAGTGTCCGAGCTTTTGCCAACATTTTTGAGCCGGCCTCAGATATCAATGACGTCAATGAACATGCTAGAACTATCCCATGTAATTGATTGTACGAACTTTAGAATCTGTCCAAGTGTCCAAGCTTTTGCCAACATTTTTGAGCCGGCCTTCATTTATAGTGTTTCAGTGCAAGCGTCAAACTCTATTCGAGCTGCTTAATCCATGAAACAACTATAAAACCGATTATAGTGGATGCTTGAAGTTCGGAATTGCATCGATTATTGTGCTCGCCAGCCTTTCAGGGCGTTAACAATAAACAATAATAAGCATGCTTGTTATCGAGTTCGTCATCGATCACTATCGACTTCAATATATACATGTAACAAGACTGCTATCTGGTCTACTCGTACTCGCACGAAAGACCTAGGTAGCACAACATCCGCTTCGACGGGTCCCCGTCAAAGCGTCCCCCTTTCTTCGTCCTAGCATATCCCTTCTCCCCCATCTGCCTGCACAACTCTTCCTTGGATATCTTGATTCCTGCAAAAGCCTGGAACTGACCCCATAACTCATCCTCCCACGCGACTTTGTCCTCGCCCACGATGACGTGTTCGGTCCGCAAGAACGTTTGAAGCTTGTCACCGCGGCCCAGCCATGCCGCGGTCGCCGCTTGGATGGCCGCTGGGTGCGTCCGCAGAACCTTTGGGTTCGCGAAGTACGCGACGCTGCCCTGGATCAAGAACGTGAGGAACTCTTCCCGGACCGCCGGCGCCTCCATCCGCTCCTTGAGGCCGGTATCTACGCGCCTGTGCCGGGGGTTGGTTTCGTCGTATTTGTCCTGGGAGACGTACTCGTTGGGAAACTGGACCACTATCAAGCGGCGCTGGACGTTGGGTTGCTTCGCGAGAGTGGGGGGGATCTCCGGGTCGTAGTTGGTTTGGATGAACGGGGTGTGGGAGAATCGGAACATGACGTTGTTCCGATAGAGCAGCCGAGCGGAGACTTGGCCGCCGCCGGTCATCCCGAGGACCAGCCCCAAGTCCACGCGCTCCCCCGGGCTCGTCTCGTCCGTGATGGCCACCCGAAACCCCTGGAGCTCTGCGAGATAGCCCGTGGCGGCGCCCTTCGAGGGGGGGCGCTGTCCCAGGGCCTTCACCACGGCGTCCTTCGCCATGACGCTAAAGTACTCGCCCAGCGTGCTCTCCAACATCTGCTTGACGACGCCTTTTCCGTTGCCTAGAGGGAAGCAAGGGAAAGGACACGTGAGAACAATGATTCCGGAGATTAAATGAGCGCTTCGATATTTTTAGGAGTTGCAATTGACGTCAGGCTGTTTCTGTATCATTCTAAAGATTAGTGGAAACACTTTTGATATTTCCTTGCTCTCAGTCACGGCGGATCCTGAAGGGAATGGCTGCCGACTTTTATCGAAAGGCCTGCTCAAGAATCATGGCCAAAAGTCTGGACACTCGGACACCTGTCTGCTATCAATCACAGCGGGTATTGGGGGGAATGGCTGCCAGCGTCATCTAAATCCCGTTTTCAAAGATCATGGCAAAAACTCAGACACTCGGACACCTTCCTGCTGTTGATCAGCCACGGCAGACTCATTAGGGGGATGGCTGTTGACGTATCTGAAGGCCGCCCAGAAAATTATGACAAAAGCTTGGCACTCGGACACCTTCCTCCTATCAGTCACAACGAGTATTGGGGGGGGGTGATGGCGGCTGATGTCATCAGAAGGCCGGTTGAAAAATCATGGCAAAAGTCTGGACACTCAGACACACGTGCATTTCTCTTCTTCCGACTATTCGTAGAGCAATCCAGAAACAAGAAATAAGGCAAGAAAGGCGTACCGCCGCTGCCGAGAAGAAAGGCGATGAGCTCCTCCGATGTGGAGCCGTTGATGGCATAGCCCCAGAGCCGCTCCATGTACTCGATCAGAGGGCGGTCGTCGTTGAAGATGTCAGAGAGGAAGCTGTCGATCGTTGGTGTGGGGAAGTCCAGGCCCTGAGAGACGAAAGGGAGTGAGAACGAGCGCGCACCAATGCAAAAAGAGACAGGAGAATTGAAGATCGTGCATCAACTTTCGTTGCAAACGAGTCAATCATGCTTCAAATCCCTGCATACCCGACAACTTACAGAGAAGGTTATGAACCTTAGAGAGCGCCTAGAGCAGATGTACACCTCTTGCAAGACGTACTAAAGATGCAATTCTGATGCTTCACAGGCCCGCACGTTGGTCGAAGAGAGGGAAAGCTCACTCGGAAGCTTGCCCCGGCCATCTTGGTGCAGCGATAGCCGGGCCTGTGGACGTCAAGCTGGCCGGTGCGCAGGTCCAGGACACCATTGTGCAGGTTCAGGATGTCCGGATCGGCGTCAAACTCCTCAGCTAGGCGTTTTTGCATCTGCCCCTTCATCACCGCTAGCGTCCCTGCGACTGCATTGGAACCATTGTAGTTTTTGAGCGACCCCAGCAACCCTCGAATTACCTTCTTCTCTTCCTCATTGCTGGTCTTCTCAAACTCATCCTCGAGCTCGGTTGCGCGCCGGTCGTACACGGTGCTGAGTTGATGCATGATGACGAAGAGCACGACAGAGTCCCCCGTCTCTCGGAAGCGCTGCCCGTCCCACATCCACCAGCTCTTTCCATCGTACCACAACCTGCACGGAATGCAGAAGATGTGATGAGAAGAGGTGCCCACAAGAAACTTCTAATCTGAACCCTTTTTTCAGGAACGTGAAAGCATGCAGCGCGGTCATCTTTGCCCGTGGAGTGCTCTCTTTTGAAGAACTCCAGCTGAAAGAAGACACTTTAACAGGTCGCCTGCAAAAGGTGGTGTGCGGCGCTTGCTGAAAAACAGAATGGCAATGAACGTCTCTGGTTGCTTCCAATTGCAACTTCCGACTATCTGCAAGGCTAGAATCTTTTGAAAAACTTCAACGGACGAGATAGATCAGAGCATACGCCGCTCTCAGGATGGTCCTGCAATGATCAAGGCTTGAAAACGGCAGCGAGTCAAAGCAGCAATTTGTTGTTTGTACGACCTACCTGTTGCACTGTGCGTACATCTTGGTGGCGATCTCACTGCCCCCCATGTCGCCTTTGTGGGCCCAGTAATCGACGAAGGATTTCGTCAGAGGCGTGTACACCGTTGAGTCCTCGGCGGCGACTGGCGCTGTCTCGCCCACCAGCCGGGTCTCGCGCGGCGTGAGCTGCCCGATGCCGCGCTTAGGCTGGATGCCGCTGCATTCAGAGCTGTGGCAGTGGTACACGAGCTCTGATCCGCGCACAAGGACGAAGAAGTTGTTCGACCCGCTGTGGTGCGCTTCGTACGGACACACCCGTGGGCCGTTCACACGGAACACGTACATGTCGGCGGCACCGAGTCGCTTCAGCTTCTCGAAGCGGGAGTGAGAGTCGCCGGTAGCGGCTACGCACTCCTCGACACGCTTCAAGACCGCCGGCGGTGGCGGGAGCGCCGCGTCTTGTACTGTGGCCTCTTCGTCTTCCGTTGGGTTGAACCTCACGAGCGGTGCCCGATCACTGCACGATGGAAAGAGGCCACTTCATCAAAAAAGCAGAACTTTTAAAAAAAGGATCGTAACCTGTCCGAAATGACGGCAAAAGTCTGGACATTTAGACACGCTCTTGCTATCAGTTACAGCTCGAATATCTGGGTGATGGCGGCTGGCATCTTTCAAAGGCCAGCTCAAAAGTCTTGGCAAAAGCTTGGACACTCGGACACCTTCTTGCTAACAGTCACAGCGAATTTTTGAGGGGGATGGCTGCCAACCTCATTGGAAAGCCGCTCAGAAAAGTTTTGGCAAAAGCTTGGACACTCGGACACGCTCCCACTATCAATCACAGCGGATATCAAAGGGGATGGCGGCTGGCATCTTTTAAAGGCCAGCTCAAAAGTCTTGGCAAAAGCTCGGACACTTGGACACGCTCCTGCTATCAGTCCCAACGTTTTTTGAGGGGTATGGCTGCCGAAATCTTTCAAAGGCCGCCCGAAAAGTCTTGGCAAAAGCTTGGACACTCGGACACGCTCCCACTACCAATCACAGCGTTTTTTGAGGGGTATGGCTGCCGAAATCTTTCGAAGGCCGCCCGAAAAGTCTTGGCAAAAGCTTGGACACTTGGACACCTTCTTGCTATCAACCATAGCAAATTTTGAGGGGGATGGCTGCCAACTTCATTTGAAAGCCCCCCAGAAAAGTTTTGGCAAAAGCTTGGACACTCGGACACCTTCCCGCTATCAACCATAGCGAATTTTGAGGGGGTTGGCCGCCAACCTCATCTGAAGGCCGCCCGAAAAGTCTTGGCAAAAGCTCGGACACTTGGACACGTCCCTGCTATCAGTCACAGCGGAACTTAAGGGGATGGCTGTTGACGTCATCAGAAGGCCGGCTCAAAAATCATGGTAAAAGTCTGGACACTCGGACACCTTCCTGCTATCAGTCACAGCGAATTTTGAGGGGGATGGCCAGATTCTTCCAGTCCTTTTGGAATAGCACAAAAGACGGACTTACCTTGGTGCGCTTGCGGGCGCGTCGCTCGAGTTGATGATTGCGGTCAACCACAGCGGTATGGCCCGGAGGTTGGCCCTGTCCGGCGCAATCTCTTGCACCCACTCGTACCGCCGGACAGCGCCGTCCAAGCCCTTGTAGCTGCTGGGCCCCACAAAGAGCATACCCCCCTCACCGCGCGTGTCGAGCCCCACCTTCTCGCCCTTGTAGGTCAGACGAGCCCTTCCGGCTCCGCTCAGTAAGCCCGCGGCCTTGGATTGCGAGAGGGAGAAGAAGAAGTGTCTCCCTGGCCGATTTCCGGTCCACTCCCAGGGGGTGTCGTCCGGCAGGGGACCGTGCTCCGCCAGCATCCGCTCGAAGGCCTCGCCCCCGCCGTCCTTCGTGTCAACGTCGAGGGCATAGATGTCCGAGGCCTCCGTCACGATTGCAAGGCAGCTCCGGCCGGGCCGAACCCCTTCCCGCAGGCAGTTGTCAAGGTCACACTTGTTGCCCCAGTCCCGCATGAGGCCAAGCGGGCCCTTCTTTTCTTCCCCTTTGTCGTTCGACCAGACCTTCATGTTGAACGTCAGCGACGCCACGCCCAGCCCGTGCAAATGACGAGCGGCCGCCGCGCACCGGTCACCAGCGGGTCTTGGAACCGCCCTTGCGACAGGGGGGGCGGCGTTGGGTGCTGCGGGCATGGCTAGGACAGCTGGGGCGGCCGGAGAGTTTTGGGGCGGACAGGGGATGGCGGGAGAAGGGGGAGCATCGACAGGATCGGGCTGCGGCGCGTTCAAGACTGGCGTGGACAGCTCTGAAGGAGGCACCCCAGTCGCATGGAGCAAACTCAGAAGTGCGCCAGCGGCTGAGGGCTGCAAAGAGATAGTAAAAGGAATCAGTCAAGGTCTCAAAAAACTATACCGTCACAAGATAAGTTCAAAAGAAAAGCTCAGCAAACGTTCTTGATGACCGAATGACCAGGAGCAAAACGCTTTTTGACTTCCGACCTGTGTACAGCAGCAATTGTTTTAAAGTTGATTATGTCGAGATGTACACGATCTGGCTGAAAAGCTGCCAAGCAAATGGCACCGGATTGCCTTAGAACCGACAGCGCAACTCTCGATTAGAAAGATGCGTTGAATACAGGCGCATAAGTTCAGTGAACGCCTGCAAACTTGGCAGTCCAAAAGGCCTCTGACGGGCTTTTTGATTGGATGCTATTCGTACGTGAATGATTTGAACAGGCCTTTGGCGCTACTCAGCTTTGAGCGCTCCAGGAAATCTGGACTTTGTGCACACAGAAAAGCGCCAACCGGACTTTTGCACTTCAGGACTTGATCCAAGCGCTCAGCAGACTTCTGCGCTCTAGATACGGGTTTAAAAATCTTAACCAATCAAGCGCTAACCAGACTTCGATGATCCAGGAGTTCAGACTTGAGCGCACCAAGTTTGAAAGCTGAAGGGGTTCAGATCAAGCGCAACGAGCTTTTCAACACGTAATTTGTGTACATGACTGGTTGTCCTTGGTGATTACGTCGAAATGTACACGAACCACTGAAACCTGCTGACCAGAACACAGTGAGCCAATTCATTCGCAAAGGACATCCTCGGAACGGAATGGGAAGTCAGCGCAGAAAGGGAGATGTGCTCACCAAGGTCCCAGCCCGTGATCGTGCACGCGGCACAATCTCGCATATTGCGAACTCGTCCAAGAGGTCCAGGTCAAACTCGTCCAACGAGCCGTCGTCTTCGGGCCGTGGAGCATCGTCAGAGCTGGCGCCGGCGTCCAGCATCGGCTGATCAGTCCCGCCCTTGTCAGAGCCACGCTGCTGGCTTTGGTTTGCCGGAGAAAGGTCAGCAGAGGGCTCGGGCGACGAGTGCACCACACGGGGGCGCCGCCTGTTTTGGGGCGAGCCGGTTGCTCCAGCAGGTGCCCGCCGCTTGAAGCGCCCCACCAGAAGCTGAGAGAGGCTTGGCTCCGAGTCGCTTTCAATTGCAGCGTTCATTTGGCCGTAGGTGATCAAGGGATTCTGACCGGTTTTGGGTTCGTTGTTGATGAAGCTGAGATCCTGGGAATTCTCTTCGTCGGACGACTCCTTCTCTCTGGTGTACTCTACCTCGTCAATGGTCTCGCCAACCCCTTCTGACTCTGAGCCCTGCAACTCCTCACTGAAAAGGCGCGCATGCTGCCGGTCATCATGACCGCAGCTCGCCTGCACAAGCGTGCGTGCAGTCTGTCGTGAGAAGAAATCAAGAAAGCAACTTGAGAGAGAGGGCGGCAAGCGCTGTTGATCTTACGATTTTTGGCTACAACTGACGGCCGTCCAAAGCCCGGCCTGAGTTTCTACCAATGATAACAGCAGCCACCCCGAAGCGATTGACGGCCCAAACCCCCCCTCCAAGTGCCCGACTTTTCTACCATGATTCTGACTTTGGAGCCTCTTTCCATGACGTCAGCAGCCATCCGGACGGAATTGACGGACCAGACCCCTATCCGAATGTCCAAATTTTGTGGCTTCATTCTGTGGTCGAGAGTCATCTATGATATATCCCGCGTAACTTGACTGGCAACTGGCAACTAAGAAACTCTCTCTCCCTGTCCGAGTATCTCAAGTGTACAGACTCTGTAGTTTTGAGTTTGGGTCATTCTTTATGACGTCAGCAGCCATTCCGGGGTTGCGTTGAACGGTCCAGGTCATTTGCCCGCTGTCCGCTGAGTGCTGAAGGGGAAGAGCCTAGTCAGAAGGATCAGAGGGATCCACTAACCTCAGAATCGTTGGTCGCTGTCGCCAACTCCTCTTTCAGGTTGCGCTGGAAAGTGTGAAAGTGGTTGGGGTCAAGCAGGCCATGCGAACTGGATGCTCGTGGCTCCTCCGTCTCGTGCACCTGCAATGAAAAGCCACGGAGTTGTGGTTTTTGGCTGAAAAACAAGTCCCTTAATCATTTCAAATTCCACGAATTGATGTTGTGTTGAGGGTCATTGGGCTTCCTCGGGACCTGACCCCATTCGAAAATTCTCAGATTCAGCAGAATCCAGAGACAAAAAATAGCTTTCCCCCATGCGCCATAGCACCAAAGAAGTTTGAGAACAATCTGGACACTGGGACAAGAGCGTTAGCCATCCAACACAACGCATACGCTCTGGAATGGCTGCAGACGTCAATGAGGCGGGGCGTCGTCTCACCGCATCAAGTGCGCTGGCGTGCAAAATCTCCCCCCCACTCCCATCATCCTGTGGCAGGGGTGCCACGGGTTTGGGCCCCGCTTCAAGCTCTGCCGCGACTTGGGTGGTTTCATCCGTCTGGGGAAGGACAAACATCAGATGGTGTGAGCATTTTGCAGGTGTCACTCAGAGCGTCAGCAATTGGGCAACGTACTCCAATGTACATGGCCTTTAGCGTCAGAAGCACGTGCACAATAGGAAGTGTTTGAATACCCAGGTGCGCAAGAGGCCAAGCTGCAAGCTGCCATGCCAAACACGCGGCACACTAAACACCGCCGCTCACCAGAATCGTGTACATGCATTGAACGCGTCCGAGTAATCAAGCTTTGCAATTCAGAGAAGGGCAAAGACTCCATTCAACAAAATACTCACTTGCATCTCTCCAGCTTGTGGCAGGCTGCTGGCGGCCGTGTCTTGAACGCCGCGACGGCGCCTCCGTTTTGCCGGCTGCTTTGTCAATCCTTCTTAAGGTGATTGCAGGCCAGAGTAGACTGGGCTTGAGGCTCGTACGGATCCATCTTCTGCCATCACGAACGGGGCTCAAAAGTCAGTCCACATTTCACCCTATGCTCTGTGCTTTCGAAAATGCATCAGTATGGAATAGCAGGCCCAAGATCAACCAGACGTTTCTCAAACCAGCCCCACAGCGAGCCTTCAATCAGGCCACCAACGGCCCCGCAAAGGCCTCAGAATCTGCCTCACAGCGAACTTCAAATCAGCTACACAGTGCCAACTGATTAGTTCGAAAGCGGGCTCCAAACCAGCCAAAACAGCGGGCCCTGAATCAGCCCCACAGCAAGCCCCAAGACCAGCCCGACAATGGGCCCCCAATCAGCCATCAGCGGGTGCCACTACAGCCCATAGTAAGTGACAAATCAGCCCAACTGCATTACGCCAGATTAGCCCCACAGCGAGCAGGGAATTTTGCCCGGCAGCAATCCCCCAAATCAGCCCAACAGCGGGCGTGAAACCGACCCTATGATGGGCCCCAAGTCAGCTCCACAGCCGGGTGCCCAATTAGCCCACCAGCTTGGAGTCAGAGCAGCCCCACAGCAAGCAAAAAAAAGCCCTACAGCACCTCCCCCCCCGATCAGCCCAACAGTGTGCCTGAAACCAACCCTATGTAGGGTACAATGAGCCTCAAGTCGGCTCAACAGCAGGCCTCCAATTAGCTCAAAGAGATGCCATCAATCAGCCGACAGCAAGCGCCGCTTTAGCCTATCAAAAGATGAATCAAGATACGGACGACATGCATGGCATATGTGAAATCATACCTCAGTCCCTTTTCTTAAGACGCCTCTCAATCCTAATCTCAAAACTATTTGCCCGCCGCAAACATTCGAGAGATGAAACGTTACCCCTCCTGCAACTTACATGTTGATACCTGATAAGAAGCATCAGAGCAACCCTCAAGGTAATCTTAGGGCAGTGTGTAAAAAGCAAAAGGTGAGGGGGTGCGATACTTACCCGCTCTTGCAACCTGGCGCCGTGCTCATCTTCTTGAGAGAGCCTGAACTTGAAATGCCTTCTTGACTATGGCCCTAAGCTCTTTTGTCTTGGAAATGCCTCTTTCTTGAAAGTTTCCAAGCTAGGTACGAACCCTGGACAGGTGGCATGCATGCAGGGCTGCCACACAATGCCGCCGCCTTGCCGCCGCCTTGCCACCAACAGCTTACCCTGCCACAGCCTTGCCCGCCCCATGCCACAGCCTGCCGCTGCCAGCTCATCAAATGGGCCACAGCATGCCACAACTTGCCGGGCGCTGTGCCGCAGCTTGCCAGCCCTGTGACGCAGCTTGCCACCGCCCGCAACTCCTCAAAAGGCAGATGCAAAACGCTGCACTCCCAAACACGCTGCGCCTTACCCAGCTGCACCTGCCAGCAGCTAGCGCGCCTGACGCCCCACACTTGCAGGAAAGTGCCGTGCTGTGCCATTGCAATTGGCCCTGGAGCTGGTCTCACAGCTCGAGGCAGCTTGTAATAACAGCATTCCCTCAATCCTTCATGGAAGTCTGCAAGCGCGTTGAACAACAGTTTGAACAACAGTCCTCTTGACGAGAAGGAAGACCCAAATGGTGCCCTCTGCTTATTCTCCAGACATTCTAGCACATATATTGTTTTATTTTGTAATATACTGAGTGGGATGACAAGCAGACGGGACAGACAAAAGCATTGCACAAGAGGGTCGGCGTATTCACTGACCATTCCGGTGAATATGTCATCCATTTGTGAGCGAGCGACAGGAGTTTCTTGTGTCCGGCTCTCGTCTTATCCTCAACGATACCGGGCAAAATGTCCGGAATTTTGCAGTTAAAAGTACGAGCAGACAGGAAAGACAGGAAAGACAGGAAAGACAGGAGTTTCTCGTGTCCGGCTCTCGTCTTATTTCCAACCATACCTGGCAAAATGTCTGGAATTTTGTAATTAACAGTTTGAGCAGACAGGAAAGACAGGAAAGACAGGAGTTTCTCGTGTCCGGCTCTCGTCTTATCTCCTACAACCATCCCAGGAAAAATGTTCGAGATTTTGTAATTAACAGAGCGCGCAGACAGGAAAGACAGGTACGACATGAGTTTCTCGTGTCCGGCTCTCGTCTTATCTCCAACCAAACTGGGCAATTTCCTGGAAAATAGTGTTTATTTGGGCGGCTCTCAGGGGGGGAGGGAGAAAGAGCCCGGGATGGCGGCCGATGGACAGGAACTTCGGGAATCGCGACCGACCGGGAGAAGGTTATACTTTTCTTCTGTCTTTCCGGAAGAAAAGTATAATCGATACGCAGTGGGACACTTTCCTTTCTAGGGCTCTTTGCGAATATGTATGTAGTAAGGCCATACCCAAAAAATTGCATCCCTTCTTATTGATTTTTCGGAAGACAAGTTATGCCTGCGATTGAGAATCGCTAAAAATTGGCGAATGCTTGACGTCCCCCTATTGCCTTCAGAGGCAAATTTATTGAATATATTGGATAGAGGAGACTACTGCAAACAGCCCTATGCAAATGTAGAATAGCGTATATTCGCACATATATGCGGGCTATATGATTAATTAAATCGAATCCAACAGTGTGCGGTCTAATATACGCTACGTACCGCAGTAGGTCATATTCAGTAGGTCATATTCGTACCGTACCGCGGGAAGGTTTTTTGGACGGTGGTACGGTACTGACCTGGCGGCAGTCTGCAGCCTGTGACTGGACTCCAGCCCGCGGTCCGGTACGTACCGTCAGTGTACTGCGACGGTAAGTTCAGTCTGCTCAGTGCCCCCGTACCTAGTTGTCGATACGGACAACTATACTGCATCGCCATTGGCCGGAAGTTTTATAAGAACTGTCGGCAAAATTTTAGTGTTCATGCGGCAATGGTTGTGGGAGCGGAAACGGGATAGAAACAAACAACCCAAATGCAAGGCAAATGCCCACGCCTGTCGGCGCAATGTGGGCATTCGCCAAAAAGTATAACCAATATAATAGTAGGAGTTGTTTCCTGCCGCCCCTCTGGTGCAAATATGTACGTAGTATTAGACCATACAACGTGCTATCTATCGCAATTTACGTTGTCAAGCACTCTTTTAGGAAAATAAGACCGAATATCGGCTCTTACCCCTAAGCGAGAGCTCGGTTCAGGAAATTCAGCACAATGTGGTGCGCACCGTCCGTTACGGGGGGTTTTCGACCCCACGGTTCGACCCCCCTGCCGACCTGCACCTCTTTGGGTCCGGGGGGCTACCCTGATTGGCATCAACTTGATCAAGTCCACGATGCAGAGTCACTCCAGCAACGAGGGATGTGAGAGACCTTGAAGTCAAGGAAAATTCAGTGCCAGAGCCCTTTTGAAAGGCGGACTGATTGGGATACTTAGTGCCAACGCATGAGCAAAGGCTTGAAGCAGGAGGATCGTGATCTTCCTGGGCATAACCGACAAGACGAGCACAAAAACTCTCGGAAACTCTGTCCTTAAAGCGGTCGCTCCAGCGTCGCTTGATTCTGTCCTAGAAGGGCTCGCCCACGTGAGAAAATCTCGCCCTTTGATTCGGGCATATCAACGCTCGGTACCCCTGAATCTAGCGCCCTTCTGGGCCTCAGCTTCGTCATCTAAGATCGTGGTCGAGTGCGAGGGCTGAGTGGCAGGTTGGGAGGGCTCAAGCGCCGCATTCACTGGTCTCTGCGGGACGTCACTGGTGAGGTTCTATGGCGTCTGGCGCAGTGCTCTTCAAGGCGGCCGGGGCGAAGCCTTTATGTTCGTGCGGGCAGGCAGGCAATGCCCCTGCAACGCCCCGGCGATCTGCGTTCAGGGCACTTCCTCGCCCTCTGTTTGAGGGATCGAGGCTGGGCCGGTTCCACCCCGAGTACAGGGTGGGGTCGGGACTGAGGCGCCTCTCGCCGAGGGCAGAGACCCCCCAGGGAAGAGCAGAGTCCGCTGGGAGTCCCACTGGGGATGACAGTAAGCCTCAGGTGCTCAAGGCACAGGCCCTCAAGCTGAGTATCGAGCGTGTGGAGAAGAGGATTGATCGTGTGGAGAACCAGATCGACGCTGTAGCTGCGGCTGCGGCTGCGGCTGCGGCTGATGGCAAGAGCACAGAGTTGTTGCAGCAGGAGAAGGTCGCGCTGCAGCAGGAGAAGGCCGCGCTCGAGCAGCGACTGACCGCGCTCGTGCAGGCAGAGCTGGGAAATCTGAAGCTGCAGCAGACACCAGGTGTGTCGGCCGGCGTCTAACGCATGGAAAGTGATCTTATGCAGACATTCTCTCCTTGGAGCAGCCCAGCAAATCACAGATGGGAAAAGACCATAGGTGGCGTTCTGCTGCCAATGTTGTGCTGCAGGGATTTTCCTTGCTGCTTGTCGATGTTTCTCAAGGAGGGTGGTTGGGCACACTGCATAGAGGGTTCTCTATTTGTCTTTGCTTGCAGTTCAGGTATTGCTCGATGGGTCATGAACGACCTGAAGTGCAGAGAGTTCACATAGCTGCTGCTGCTTCAGAAGGGTTTTTGTATCTGGGTTTGCCTGCAGTTCCTGTGTTGCTTGATGGGTCATGTCAGCCTGCAGGCGGAAAGGTCTTACGGTGCAGAGCAATTCCTTCCAACCTCATCGTCGCTGTTTATGCTTAGCATTGGCAATTTGCTCATCCAGAGACTGCATGTGGAGTGCTGACAGATAGCTGCTGTCGTGAGCAGCGGCGGCGGCCCCAGACCCTGCAGTCCTGGGTGAGTCTTTGTGCCTATCTCCACCTGCACTCGCCGCACCTGTCAGCATAGTCGTCTGCTTGATTGGTGTTTCAGGCGCTGTGTGACTGGTGTAGAGTTTCTGCTTTGGAGTGTCTGGTCTGCCGGTGGTCAGTGCCCACCACAAAGGTGATTTGCTGCGGTGGAGGCTGGTGTAGAGTTTCTTGTGACGGCACAAGAGTGTCTGATCTCCGGGTGGTCAGCCCCCACCACAAGAATGATTTGCTCTTTGTTCCAGAGGGGCTCCAGAAGTACGCTGAGTTCATTGCGCGAGCGGACACTGCCAGTGGAGTCATACAGATCCCGCCCGAGCTTAGGGTCAGATTGCCGCCAGGCCTGCGGAAAAGCATTGTCATCCGGGAGTGCTACCGCACGGTACTGACGAAGCTCGAGGCTCTTGGGGACAACTTTGCGGTGGTCCTGAGTGGCACCCCGGGCATCGGAAAGTCTGCCTTTGCAGTCCTCCTCCTGCACCACTTAGCAGGGCAGGGGGCACAAGTGGCATACAGGTACGCATGCACCAAGTCCTGGTCGTCCAACTCTGTAGTCGCCTGCTTTTACTTGTGGCGTGTGTCGCTGAGCATCATGCTTTGCACCTCGCTTCTAACAAGGCCTTCCCAGATGAGGGAGATCATGCTTCCCCGTCTTCTGCCAACATTCTCAGTCTGCCTTTGCAGGTACAAGGATCAGGCTACACAGGACACCATCATCTTCTTCGATTTTTCAGATCCTTCCGCCATCAACGTAAAATGGGCTTCTGAAAGCGCTGCTGACTTCCCATCCCTTGAATGTAAGCAAACAGTTTCTCATGTTGTTGCAACCGCGAAAAGCATTTTACGCAGCAAATGGTAGTTGGCTCTAGCTTCAAGGAATGCAAAGGTCCTATGTTGGTGGATATTGACTGCAAGTGGGCTTTCGTGATGACAGTGTAAGCCCCTGCGAAAGCGCACACTCTGGGTCTGGGCCTGTGGATGAAGTAGTATGTGGGAGGTCTCGGCGCATTCTCACCAGAAGTGATTGGCCTCTCTTCTTGTGCAGCTCTCTCTTCGCGCCCCACTGTCTGGCAAGTGATAGATGGACGAGCACCCCCTCACACGCAGTTCCGGGGTTATGGTCGCTGCGTGGTACTGTGCTCGCCCAACAGAGACAACTACTGGGAGTTCCGCAAGGGAGAGTAAGTCGTTGGAACAAAGACAATACCTGCTCCAAATTGACCTCTTCATCGTTGAGAAGAATCGGATCCTTGACGTATCCAAGGTCCTGGGTGCTTGCCTAGGCCTGCAGCGCGCAACTGTAGATGGGTGCTTGTTGTTCGGTCCCTCTGTTCTTGTTGTTCTGCAACCTTGGCTATATTATGGACGCTCTGAACCCTGGCTGCAAGCCATTGATACCGCAGCACCTTGCTGGAAATTGTTCAAACCTGGCTCCAAGGCCGCCTCCTTCGGGCTCCTTCTTGCAACCCCTCTTTCTTTTAGGATCATCTTTTACCTCCTGGTGCTTGACACCTGCGATTTTCCTTCCATTCATTGGCAAAGACAGGCTGGTTGTCTAGTGGCTCTTACACTTCTTCTGACCCCAACCTTTTGCCGCAGCAGGCACTTCGCTTTCGTGACCCGGGCAATCTGGATTGGTGGTGCAGGAGATGCTTCCTGTGGTGGCTGCCAGTGTGGACGCTGAAGGAGCTGGAGGACTGCCGGGAGCACCTCTACGACCAGGTGTCGCAAGAGCAGATGGAGAAGCGCGTGGAGGAGTTTGGCGGGCTCGTCAGGCACGTCTTGGCGAACCCTATCCTGTCTTTCGACGACATCGCGCGCACGCTGGATGCTGACCAGGCCGTGGAGCTGTACAATCTGAGCGCCCAGTCTTCGGACAGTGAAGTGCGGCACATCTTCGCACACATCGAGGTGAGTCAGCTTGAAGCACAGGTCAAAAGTTATGGCTGAAATGATAGCCGACCTCTCATCTTTGATCTTTGCGGTGCTTGTTCGCTTGGATTGCATGGTTGAGCAATACGAAGCAGGTGACACAATGGGCTCCTCTCTAGTTGGTCCTGTGCTTATAAAGCTCATTTTGAAGTGCTCTCAAGTTGAAGCGGAGGTGTGCAGCAGACTTGAGGGCATGCGCTCATCTGCACATGGACCACATACCACGGACTTGCAGCCGAATCACCTCTGCAATCTTGTCATGTGCAGGCGACAGAAGACCTTGAGTGGGTCGGGTACACCCTCGGTTCGCAACGGATCAAAGAGCTCGTCTACCAGAAAGCTAAGCTCGGCCGGTGGCGGGACCTGACGGAGATGCTGCGCGCTGCAGCTGAGGAGCCGACCTTGGGCAAGATGACCGGGGATCTTCTAGAGCAGTACGGGCATGACATGTGTCAGCAGGGCATAGCGCTAGATCCCGAGGATGTAAAGGAGGTGTCCAAGGGGACAGTGGGTCGGCCACGAACGGAGACAGAAGCGGAGGAGAGGCAGAGGGAGCAAGCGATCAAGGAGATCCGGGATGCGTTTGGGGGCAGCAAAGAAAAGAAGTACGACGCATCAAGCGAAGGAATCGACTTGGCGAAGCTGGTGCGGACGTATGTAAAGCCGTTGGTAAAAGTGCAGGAGTCTTGGGATTCACTAGTCTGCTCGGGCGACGGCTGGGTCAACGCTGTCCAGTTTACGCGCAACGTCCAGCATCGAACCAGTGCGGAAGGGATGCGGCTGCTGGTGGAGCGCGCCAGCGCAAGCGGAGTGAAGGTTCGATTAGTGCATGTGGTGCCGACAGAGAGGTTTGATGAGTACGGATGGCAATCTTGGTCCAAGGGCAAGAAAGTTCTAAGAGATGAGGAAGTCCCTGCCGTGCTCAAAAGCATAAAGCAATGGGTTGTTCGTTTGAAGCTTCCTCCTGCAGGTAGTTGAGCATCATTGCCACTAGTGCTCGTGCCCGAGTGATCGGGTAAGCGCAAATGTACAGCGGTGCGACCTAACTGGCACGTTTCCAAGCGAACACTCCCCATTGCGATAAAAAGAAAAGATTATGGTACAAGTTGTCTTGGCTTTACTTGTAAATCAGCCAGCAGCTTCGAAACAATTTATAGCTGGACTTGGACTTTGGATAGCAGAATGAGCTGCCATGTCATCGTCTGCTTGCAGAAGCAACTGAGCAATTGATCCTTCGGAGCTTTCCTGCCTACACATTGAGCTAGTCAGCATTGTGCAATCACTTATTGCAAATTTTCGAGGTACAGGGTTTGTAGTTTTGAAGCTGTTGATTAGTTATCTAAGCTAAGCTAACCTAGCTAAGCTAATCCGTTACTACACATGCAACTTGTCTGATGTTGGCATGTGCTTAGTCGTTTTGCACACGCACAAATGCAAGCCCGATCAAATACATATGTGGTGTGCAGGCAACGAGTCATCGAGGCCAGCCGCGTTTCTCTATACGCACGCGCTCTTTGTGCCATGCTTTTAAAAGCCTACGCAGTGGCCTGGCTATGGTCGCTGACCGGAGAGTTGTGGCTGCCTACCAATGATTAGTTTCCCATTTCGAAGTGCACTGAGGCTATGGAGGGTACACGTGCGCGGAAGGCCCAAACTTCAACCACTTTCCGCTCGCGTATTCAACGCGCGTGCGCACTGTCGTCTCAATTTTGTTTCTCGACATCATGAATTGAGAGCCGACTCGAGGCCGGAATGTTAAACCCCAGCTTATGCCTGGAATCGGCTCGAGCATACCATGTAAAATGCTGAAATGTTTATTGTAGACGCTGCTGACGTCCGAGTCCTGTTATGGGCTACCCGCTTGGACCTCTTGGACCGCAAGCATGCTCTGGATGCAACATCGTTACCGTTCGGATGAGACCAGCGCGGTAATGGCTAGTGCCCGGCTGTAGTTCACACCATGCCCACACGTAGTGACCGGGAGAGGCTTTTCGACGGACTTTCAGGTATTCTGGGGGGCTGACGTGTCGGACCCTGACTGGCCCAATTTTAATGCCGAAGTTCATTTGGCTTGCTGGTAGTCGGGTGGAAACGTCCTCTCACTCACTGAGTCTCAGGCACCCCCACTGCACTGCTGCTTTGCTTTTGCCTGGCCTGCACCTTGGGCCTGCGCCTTTCTGCTGCTTGATGCCGTGGTGGTGGTATGCCTACTGCTCGCGCCCCGCCACTGACGACCTTTGACAAGCTGCCTTCAGAAAGCACACATTCGATGCTGCAGATTAAGGCAATAGGGATGGGATCAAAGCGGAAGGCTCGTGTTGAGGAGGAATTGGCACTAGAGCATGGCCTTACCTCGGAACAGCAAGAGACTGGCCACAATGGAGATGAGAAGGAGGCGGACGCTGGGGAGGAGACGGGGTTTGCGCGCGCCTTTCTGCAGATCCTGAGCAAGGAGGGGCCGGAGGCTGGCGGGGCGGCCCCCATCCTGGTGAAGCAGCACCGCGCAGTGGCAGCGGCGACGGAGGCGGAGCGTGCAGAGCAGGCAGGGCAGCAGGAGGCCAAGCGGCAGCGCAAAGAGGTGAGGCGGGGAGACATACACATGAAAGCCAGCAGGCCAGCAGCAGGCAGGGGAGAACGGCTAGCGCTGGGATTCAATGTAGGGGGCTAAATGCCAGGACGGGACCTGGGATAGCGGATCCATCGATAAGCTTGTTTGCAAGGACCTTTTACTGATTGTCACTCGTGTCTGCTTACTTGTCAAGTGATTATCAGACATTGCCACCTCTTGGGGACGAGCTCCCCTTGGCCCCCAGCAGTGGGCCACACCCTCCTCTGGGCTGCCTGCACGCTCAGCCGTGCTTGGCCCGGCTGGTTGCCGTTCAGGCTGGCAGCATCGTCCCTGACTGCGCGCCTCTCTCTGTGTGTGCGTGCAGCTGGTCGAGCTGGCGCACGTGCTGCCTGTGGCGGGGCCCACCCCCGCGGAGCGTGCGCTGCGCCAGGTGGCCACGCGGGGGGTGGTGCGCCTCTTCAATGCGGTGAGGGCCACGCAGCAGTGGTCGCTCATACCAGATTCACAGATGCTGCCGTCCTGGTCCGCTGCGAAGTCGTGCTGCTCGCGCCTTCTCTGTGCCCCCCCGCCTAGCACGGCCCTTGGGTGCAGCAATCAGCAGTGGGAGGGTCCAGCTTTACCCCCCATTTGGATGTCGAGCGCAGCATCCCCCCTGTTGAATGCCTGTCTGCTTGGCTCCTGCGCAGGTGGCCAAGGCACAAAAGGAGCAGGCGGCAGCGGCAGCGGCTCCAGATGGGCCCCACAGAACAAAAGGTGTGGGCCTGGCTAGTCTGGGCCACTTCGATGGGACAGCACCGCATCCCAATCGACGGCACTGATGAGCCGAGCTGATCCTGCCGGGACATCAGCCGCTTCAATGTTGCCATTGTATGACCATAGCGCTGTGTCTGCTCCACTGATTGGCAACTCATGGGTGGGTGCAGGAGCAGGCCGGCTGGACAAGCGCTCCTTTTTGGCGGAGCTGCGCGGAGTGGCGGGGGCAGCAGAGGGCAGCCCTGCACCGGAGCAGCGGCCAGGTGACGCACCGGCCGGGGGTGCGGCGGGGGCAGAGAGGGGCCCCAAAGGAGGGGAGCCTGGGGATGTCAGGGAGGGGCGGCAGGTAACACAAGAGAGGAGCGCCTGGGAATGCTGGGCGCTCACAGCTGCCTGTGGCTCTGATGAACGACAGTTTCATCCATGTCAGTGCAAGGCGAAGTTGTACGCCATGTCTGGGGGCCTGATGTTGGAGTTGATAGTGTGTACGGTGTCAAAGGTGAAGTTCGGAAGAGGAAGCCGCCAGATTGGAGGCGTGTGGGGGCAGCGAGCCCCACTTTGCAGCAGATTCGTGTGCGCCGTGGTGCAGCACTGCTGACCTGCATGTGTGGCACCTGGTGGCCACTCCTAGAAGAGGTCATGAGGTCGACTTAACCGCCAGAATGCGCAGCTTCCTTTATCTGTCACGATCTTTTGAGTTACTCGTCTGCGGTGGTCATGTTGTCTCCTTTTGACCAAGAACATTTTTGTTACTCGCGGATAGGAGCCCTCCAAAAGGCGAAGCCGACCTACTGTGCGTGGGGGACTCGCAGCAGTACCATGGCGGCTTTGCGCGAGGGTGCCTGCGCCAGTGCCTCCCCGTAGGCGGGGCGCGGTCGTTCCTGTGGCTCGCTCTTGTTGACCGTGCTTGTGTGCATGACAGGCGGACCTCACCGAGGCGGGGCCGAGCGCTGGGGGCTGGGACGTGCTCCGCGACGACTTCTTGCTGGGCCGCCACAAGCTGGCGGACTGGGACCGGGGCGCGGTGAGATGTCACTCCGATCACCAGCCTGGGCGGTGCAACGCTAGGCGGGGCGAAGCCGCAGCACGCTCTTGGCGATCGAACGTCTGTTTCTGAACAACCTTTGGGCGCAACCCTGAAGTGCAGTCTGCCTCTGCCGGCGGAACCTTGGTTCCCGGCAAGACGTGTGACCACCTCCCCCTCGTGTGTTCCTGCAGGATGAGGCTCCAGCTGCCAGCCTGGACGATAGTGACAGCGGGAGCGCGGGGAGCTTGGGAGAAAGTCAATCAGAGAGCGAGTCAGAAGGAGACGACTGACGAAAGAGGTCGGTCCTGCATTGCGGTGTGTTTGCGCTGTGCACATAAAACGACTCAGATAGCTGCCAAACGTTGCCTTTATTCACGTCATTCGAGCGGCATGAAGGTGTTGGATGTGGCGGCTTTTATTCTCGGAAAACTTGGGACATCAAGTGCGTCTAGCGGCTCACTTCCATGCCGTCGGCCTTTCAAGAGTTGTCGTCAGTTCGATACCCTTTTCAAAGGGACTCACAAGGGCGCTATCAATCCCAGCTGGAAGTTGAAGAGTCCCTGCTGCAGACAGACGGGCCCATTCGGGACCAACTACTTTGCATGCATGCTACACTCGCGACGCAAACTTGAGCTTGGATAACCACACAAGCAATCATATCTTGAGTTCCGAAGAGGTTTCCAGTGCCTGCGCACAGCGCACAGGCTGACCAGCAACCGGTTGGGGTTGCTGCACACTACCCTCAACAGCCCGGATCAAGCTAGGTACACCAGCTCATTATAACGACACGCGACACTTTGCATTCACGATCCGGCCTCAATTATTTCAGCATGTCAGTACACAGATTGAAAATGACACATGTGAAACACTGCAAACATAAGTCCATGGGCTAGATATGTCTAGCCTGGCGAATTATTGAATAATGTACAGCAATATTGCTAAAGTCAATTCGCCGTTTTTTGGATCAAAATTAGCGACATTCGAGCTCGACTGATGGTGTTCTTCCAAATAATCAAAGATGCATGTGCTTCTTGCTCACAATACGTCGAGGTCGCCATATGTGCATGGCACTTTGCATGATTGCATGATCCATGACTTTGCATGCATGAGCGCGCGCCGATGCATGGTTGTTTCATTGCACAAAAGCGTCTGCGTGCAGATCGCGATCGGGGACTCCAAATCGCAGACTTTACTGCATTGATACCGTGACATCGTACTTAAGTCGACATTATGAAGTGGCGAACTTATACAGATGTGTTTGTTCACTTAACCCAATGCAACTGCATGTCACAGGGTGCAGGCATATAGAAGAATCTCGATTTGGTTGAACAGGAAGGTTCTGCCCCACGTCATTAGTACCGTTGGACTGCCTCACCGCGAATTTGGAACGTAAATTTGGCGCGCAGCTGCAAAGATGTATTGACGATGTCCACTTCAAGGAGCTATGATGCAGGCAATCAATAAGGGAATTCGACAGGAGCTTCGAAAGGAACTTTTCTGCCTTTAAGAACACCATATGAATTTACGAACACGATCTGCAAGACCTTGTGGTTGCAGTAATCAATTCACATGTAAGGAAAGGACCGAGTTTGAAAACACAAATCATCCGATCCAAATGTTCGTGTCCAACTCAATGTATCATACTGCTTCGTACAGACGCCCCCTGTCTTTGTCATGAACCCCGTACTACAACCCTGTAGATCAGGCTTGCCCGCTGATGTCACGTCCTGGGTTGCTGCGGCAGGAGCCACTGGAAGAGGTCGTCGGGGCAGTCGTCGTTGGTGCGCCGCTGCGCGTACTCGTGCAACATGGCCCACAGCTCGCCCACGGCCCACCCCTCGCGCCGCAGCCACGCGCCCACCTGCCACACCGCCCAGCCACCCGCACGCAGTCAGGCCAGCCAGTGGAGGCCCCTTCGAGAGGAATGTCACAGCACGTCTCCCTGCTGACTACGGTCCTGCAGTCCTTGCCCGAGGCCTATCCCCTCACGAGGCAGCCCGGCAAGGTTGAAAGCAGTTGAATAGAGGCGGCTCGGTGAGGTGCCGGGGGGTCACCTGCGCCAGGCGTGCGGCCTTGGCGTCCCCGAAGGAGCAGTAGAGCAGCTGCGGTCGCCCCGCCTGCGTGGCCGCCATCCACTGCAGCAGCGCCTTCAGCTGCACGTCACCCCCAAATGCACCGCACCCCCAGTTGCCAGTCGCCACCCCCCTTCCCGCTGCCGGCACGGCCTCGCTTTGTGCCCCCTCCAGCATGCCAACTGCAGCGCCCGACGTGCTGGCCCCACCTTCGGGGCTGGTGGACGGTGCACCTTCGTTGGCCGCGCCGGCAGGGCTGGCAAGGGCCCCTGGGTCATGGACCCAACCGCGCCGGGGGGCGTGGTCCAGGAATCCACAGAAGGCCTTATTAACCTCCCTGCAACCCGCCCCACACAAGTCAGTTGCAAAACCACCGCCGAGTACAAACTGGCCTGGCACCAGAATGCTTCAGTATGCCCGTTTCATAGCCAAGTGGGGCGCAGACTGGACTACAGCCTGCTTTCTGCTCCACTGCGTCCATAAGTGCGCACGGCCACGCCGCCTCCGCTTCCCGCGCTGGTGCTGACCTGAGCCTGTGCTGCGAGGCCCACTGCCTTGTTCCCGGGTTGGCCAGCGCGTCAATGGCCACCAGGTGCGTAGCGCGCCGCCCCAGCGCATCACGCGGCGTTGCGTCCACGAAGTCCCCCGCAAACTGGAAGGTGTCCGCATACCTGCACCCAGCGCCCGAGTCAGGCGCCATGCAGCAGGCCTCATCCGCAGCTGCGCGCTGCCCAGGACGGCCAGAAGCCGCGCGCGAGCGGCAGTGGTCCGGAGAGAAGGGCAGCTCACCCGGTGTAGGCGCTGTAGCGCTCCGCGCCGACCACCTCGATGGCCTCATTGTCCGCGAGGGCGGGCAGGAAGAGCATGCCCACCAGCAGCTCGGGGCACAGCATGAAGCGGATCTCCTCCTGCACCGCGCACGCCCCGCACGTCACGCCCCAGCCTGACAATGCCCGCGGTGCACGGGCAGCAGGCGCAGCTGAGGCAGCGGAGGGGCGCACTGGCAGTGGGGGGGGCAGAGCAGGGCCGAAGCTTCACCTGCACGCAGCCGGCACCCAGAACGCCGCCCCCAAGGAAGGCGTTGGCAAAGTCGACTTGCAGGTAGGCTGCGCCGTCATCCTCAATCGTGCCGCCGTCCAGAACCTGCACCCGCCTAAGCAAACAAGGGTCAACAGAGCGGCAGTCAGGGACAAAGGGATGAGGCAGCAGCACCAGCCTTCAGGAAAGGCGCACGGGGAAGCTCGTGCTGAAACATGGACGTACAACCTCAAGCAACGCACGGTAGGCCCTGCAGCGGTGGCCTTGCTGTGGCGTACCTGGAGGGGGCAGAGTGCAGCTGTGCTGGCGGCCCAGTCCTCGCTGGTGGGGAGGGGGGCGGGGGGATCCCCGGGGCTGCCCGGCAGGGGCAGCACTTTGCGCTCGAAGGTGACCGTGCCGCGAGGGGGCTGCTGTGTGACACGCCCAAAGTAGTGCACCAGGCACTGCACCTTGGCCGCCTGCGAGGGGGCGCCCCGCACCAGCAACCTGCAGGGCCCCAGGGGAGGCGAGCGCTGAGAAATGGCACCACCACTGCAGCCAAGAGCAGCAGGGCAGGCGCGCAGAACGAGGTCCCGCAGCCCTACAGCAGCTATCTGGCAGCATGCAGGAGCCTCTTTTGATGTTGAGCGAAACCCCGGCTTTGTCTCTTCTGCCGAGCCTGGTGTTGGCCAGGTGCGAGGCTGCGTACCCAAAGAGGCGGTCGCAGTTGATGGCCGGCAGCATCTCGTCCGTGCGTGGCCCCGTAGGGAAGAGGCACAAGAAGCTGCACGCCAGCAGCGCCGCAATCAGCTCCTGCACCGCGCCGCGCAGCGTCAGCAGCCACCCAGGACACCAATTGTCAAAACGGACAGTCCCATCTCCACAAACCATGTTCAACTACTCTGAAGTGGCATGGCACCTGCTGTCTGCGCGAGTGCTTGCCCTGTTCCTACCTGGGTGAGCATGACGAGGCCTGGCTGCTGCGCCGGCAGAATGCGCAGGGGGGAGTGGCGGCCGGCTGGGTGGCCCTGCAGCGCTGCCGCGTGCTGCGCTTGCAGGGCCGCAGGAAGGGACAGCGCCAGCACCGCCATGCCGGGGAGGGTGGACAGGAAGAACGAGGCGGCGGCGGCGGGGGGGAGCACCTGCGACAGCCAACAGCCTGAGCACCTTCCATGCGTGCCAGGGAGCCTGTAGACGGTGATGAAAGCATCCACGAAAGTAGGGGGGGAAGATGAGCGAGAGTGGGTGTTTTATGGACCGGGGCCCTCACCTGGTGGAAAAAAGTGTGGAGACCAGTGTGCAGGCTGCCATGGCAGCGGCCGAGGCGCAGCTCGCGGCGCATGTCCTGGATGGCCTCCCCAAGGGCCACCCCCGCCGCCACCCCGCTGGTGGCAGGACCCGCCGCCAGGGCACGCAGGGCATACTCCACGCCAGGCGGCCACTGCCAGCGCCACGCCGCGCCGGCGGCGCGGGGGAGAAAGTCCAGGGGCAGCAACCACTGCAGGGCCTCGTCCGGCAGGGGGGCAGGGGGAAGAGGGGAGGGGGCTGCACAGATAAGAGGGGCTGTTCTGCCAACTCTGCATGCTGGCTCAGCCTTCCAATGACATGGTGTAGTTGAACCTCACCAAGCTCACAAGCTCACTTCAAACAGGGTAAGAAAAATGATGGCAGAATCCACTTGCAAAAGGTACTAGTGCTGCAGTCCATTCCGGACAATCCCACCCAGATGTTACCTGGCTTCATCTCGGTGGCCTTCTCTGATGTGAGCCCATGATCCATGCCCACATTGCCCAGGCAGGGGGTCTTCTTCTACGGCACCGTTGAGGCGGTGTCCCCAAGGTACTCGTCCTGCATCACGGAGGACAGCATCAGATGAAAGCGCAAGAGCTCCTAGCCGTATCACCGTCCCATACTGCTAATTTCAAAGTCTTCTAAGCTGGTGACACAAGCAGCAGGTCAACACCGCACTGCCATTTTGTCATGTTCCAAGCAGCTAACAGACCAGCCGAACTTTCCATACCGCTTACCGATTGCCCGAGACAAAGAGGAACAATTGAACCGAAGTAGACTCGCAGACAATCACGCCAGAAGCATAGTCCCTACAGACGCTTGGAGGAAGCCGGATTGAAGCGCTCGTTGGTGCTGCGACTGGCAGGCTTGCCACGCCTGTTCCAGCTGTCAGAAGCCTCCCGACGAGGGGAACACAAATGGTCGCTTCATATTAATGAACGCGTGCATACCCGGGTGCATAGCGCATAGAACATCGGAGCAGCGTTTGTCGAGTGCTATCCTAAACAGGCTGCATCACCTGTCCTATATCAAAGTGGAATCAAGGGTGCGGCTCCTTGCGAGGATGGGGAGCCCCGGGCCCAAGCATTGAACCATGGGGCATGGGCACTGCAGCCTGTGCAGGCACACACACACACGCAGCATTGCTGCATATTGCGGGTGCGCGTTCGCCCAAAAAATTACAAAATTACGGTATAGGTACCGGTATTATACATACCTAGGTAGGTAGTTCATGTCACGAGCATGATGCTACCGTATGTTATCATGGACTACGGTAGTAGATAGTACTTACTTGATATTTAGTAGGCTGCCGCCTGATCGGTAACGGCTCACGAGCGACTTTGCCGGTCTCAAGATAGGTTTTTGAAGCCACTGCTCTCGGAAGTTTGCGCCGGTTTCACGGTAACGGCAGGGCTTTGCTTAACGTACTGTCCGGTTCTAGCGGGAGGGATACAAAGGGAGGGACACCTGCTTGCTTCGTCCTCTTTCCATTGCACTTGCGGCAGGGGGGCTTGGCGACGCGTCCACCATGGTGCGTATTGGCCCTTCGTATGGGAACCTAATTATACTGGTGCCCCCGTCGTATTGTTGGGTAGAGCAGCTTTTGACGCAGAGATGGAAGCGTACGGGCTGTTGGAGTTTGACGCTGACTTCATCCTCGTTGTGTGTAGGTTTCTGAGAAGAAGGCCGCCAACAGCAACCGGGAGATCCGGGTGCAGAAGCTGGTGCTCAACATCAGCGTGGGCGAGAGCGGAGATAGGCTCACCAGAGCAGCCAAGGTCAGACACTCCTAATCCCGTCCACCCGGGTCGCCTGGTTGCCCTCGTTTTGGGGCCAGAGCGGTCAGAGATTGCAACGATGTTGCTGAGGCAATTGAGTGGCACGGGGCCTCAAGAGTGGTTCTTGCCTGAACTCTTGCTCTCCCTTGCACAGGTTTTGGAGCAGTTGTCAGGCCAGCAGCCCGTGTTCACCAAAGGTAAGGCACTCAGGCGGCAGTAATCAGGGGCCGCCCAGCACGTGCTTATTGACTGCATAGCTTGGCTGGATGAGTTAAGGGGAAGGTTCTCTCAGAAACTATGAATTTGGGTGACCTGCGGATTGCACATTCGTGGTTTGTTTCAATGCCTGCTGGGCAGCGGATGTGCTAAATATGCGGGTGCCGCTTGTCCAGCCCGCTACACGGTGCGGTCTTTTGGCATCCGGCGTAATGAGAAGATTGCCTGCTACGTGACGGTGCGCGGAGAGAAGGCCCTGCAGCTGCTGGAGAGCGGGCTCAAGGTGAAGGAGTACGAGCTGTTGCGGCGCAACTTCAGTGAGACCGGCTGCTTCGGTTTCGGCATCCAGGAGCACATTGACCTGGGAATCAAGTGAGCTCCAGCAAGCACCTTGGCAGTTCTGGCAGATGATCCATGCCCTGGCAAGCGCAGAATGGTGGCCTTTGTGTTGATGGTAATGGTCAGACGCAGTGGGTAATGGTATCTCCTTTACTTGCTGGGGAAGCTGTCCTGCTCTGTCGTGAGACCACACAGCCTTCCGGCGCTTTGAGTATCAGTTACTGATTTCAAGGTGGCATCAAGAATCGTCGCACAGCACTCGTGCAGCTTTGTTGCCGTTTCCAGCTTTGACCTAGGCCAGCCTCTGCTTGGCGCTGACTCGTTAGTGATGGGCAGTGCACTGGTCCATTCTGCTTCACCCTCTCCGCACGCATGTTCAGCCCTTGAGTAGGGAGCCTGATAAGCGAGCAGGATGGAGCCCTGCAAACGAGCGGTTTGCTCCACTGGGTAGCTCACGCAGTGCAAGGCAGGCAAGCTCCTTTGACGGCAAAATAGAGTTGTCCATAAGTAGGGGCATGAAGGTTGCTGTTAGCTGCCTTGGGCGCCAGAGAGGATGGGGGGAGTTAATAAGTTTGGTGGCCAAATATGGATGCACGTCGTGCAGCTGATCATGCCCAAGGAACGCTGTTAGTGCAAAGTCGAGAAGGCTGGTGGCTTTGTGCACATGGGGTACGGGGACGTCCAGTCCGCCATGTTTGGAGAGGGGAATGGCAAGAAGGCACAACAGGCATGGCAATGCACACGGGGCGGAAGCAGGCACGTGCAGCCCAGTGGAGGCTGTCAAGACTGCTGGCCGTAGGAAGCTGGCCTAAAATCAGATGTTCGAAGGGGCCGGTCAGGCAAGGATCAGACGAGTTAGAATCCACACTGTTAGAGTTTGGCTTTAGTCGCTGACATGCCCGTGGTTATGTTTGTCTGCTCAGGTACGATCCTAGCACTGGCATTTACGGCATGGACTTCTATGTGGTTCTGGAGAGGCCCGGCTACCGGGTGGGCCGCAGGAAGAGAGCGCCCTCGCGGGTGGGCATTCAGGTGAGGGGGGCGCAACGAGGTGCAGGGCACCAGCACGGTTTGTTGTTTTGGGCCAACATCAAGTAATTCACAACCGACAGGACCAACTCATTCTAGGCTTTCAGAAGCCTGCTCTTCTTTACGCCCTCACTGGTGCAGGGATCTCTATTTGTCAGAGTCTTTTCTTTATGACATCTGGCAGGGCTTTTCGGATTCTGTTCTGAGTAAGATATAGCGAAGGCATTTCAGCACAGCTTGTGCAATTGATGGCAAGCTTAGCACCTGAGATGGTTCTGTCTTATCAAATGAGCAGTATCCCTCTCTTCTTCTGCGTGAATCCGAGCTTATGCACGGTCAGATAATGTAGAGCTTGCTTTTATTCTGAGAGCAGAGTGGAAATATAAGTTTCCTTGCTTCTTGCGAAGGGGTTTTACATGATCATCCAGACAAGACACGCTGATTGTCTGGTTTAGCTCTGACTACATGGATTGCATGGCAAGCCCCGCGTTTGACAGTACGGCAGGGCATGTTAACGTTTTCGCTTCAACCTTTTCCTCTTGTATGCAGCACCGTGTGACCAAGGAGGATGCACAGAAGTGGTTCCAGGTTAAATACGAGGGAGTGCTGGTCAACAAGAGCCAGAGGATGGAGTAAGCAATGACAGTGTCCACTTTGGCCTTAATTTGCAGGCTTTCACAAACAAGTTTGCCATTGTGCTTTATCATGGTCCTCTCAATCCTCTCGTGTGGTGTCATGCACCGGTGCTTGAATAAGCGTTTCGTGCATCATGGTCAGATGGGAGAGGTCGCAGGTCTCCGGGTTGCCAGCCAGACCTTTAAGTAGGCTTTCATTGTCGGAGATAATACAGTACTCTTAATGCCCATATGATCAGATCGCGGAAGCCCTCTGTTTTGGTTGCGAGCCGCATATATCCTCAATACGTTCTACAACACCTGGTGAAGGGGTCTCTGCAAAAGACAGCCACGCCACCTCGTGCATGTCACCCCACTGCTTTCAATATACTGACATGCATGTCGGGTAGCAAGAGCCAGGCGGTTGCACCACATCTTGCTCGGACCATGTCAGGTCCTGCCCACAACGCGTTCAAGGTCTTGCGGCATGACCCTATGTATGGTCAAATCGTCGTTCTTCTACCCTTGGTACATGCACCGCATTGTACATTCATTCGGTATATGTCAGTGTGATATTCAGATCCATGTCCTTTTGAAGGACTCTCGTCACCGCAGTGATTTGTAGTAAGCTGCATGCGGCTTGTGGCTCCTAGTGACAGTAGTCTTAGTGTTTTTGGACAGTGCCTACCCAGTTTTTCGAGGGAACTCGTTAAATTGCTTATAGAGGGCGTCGGTTTTCAAGCCGCGTTCAATGATGGATATGGGTCACTATCGAGGGGAAAGAGTGATCCACTGGCCCGGCCAAACTCCCCTGAGTAACAGGGCAAAAAATCGCTCAGCCAATGCAAAACTTGGGCCGCTTTGTCGTGATGCTACGTGTCGTGTCAGTAACGTCTCGGGTCCTATGACCATGCGCAATCTAACGTGCTCAAAATGAATATAGTACCGCGGCTAATCCGCGCAACCAATCCTAACATGCTGATGTAGTCGTAGTCATGCAGTAAATGTCGTAATCCATGGTGCGGCCGTACTCGATCGGGAATTCACACCGAAGGTAGGCGCTGCGCTCGCTGTCTGTGTTCGGATCCACCTAATACTTCACCCGCTGCTTGCGGGGGTTTGGAATCATATGCTGGCCGGTCCCATGACACTCATCCCGACTGAGTGTGTCAGGCAGATCGTGGGATGCAATCACCACGTGCGCCATAACAGTGACTACGTCAGGGGTGCCTGGATTCAGCTCGAAGCTGACCGGCTCAAGTGTTTGATCCAAGCGGTCCGAACAGCTGTCCTGTTGCATCGCGGATCACAATCGCTCTGCGGCGAATGGCATGTCAAGGGTAATCCCCATTGCCTTGGCGCCTGAGGGGCCTGTAATGACGGCCTCCGCGCCAGAATCCAGAATCAAGTTCGGCACCACGCGCCCGTTCACTAGGAGGGCAAGCTGCGGGCCGGAGTTATCAATCCGAGGTGACCTGTGGAACCCCGCGTTCGGGTCACTGCGGTACGCCCCTGGCAGCTTCCCTAGGAGCGCTCCAATTTGGGGGTTCTCTGGGTCGTAAATGTTGTCTGCAGCCGGCTCTGGGGGCGGACCGGCGGCAGCTGGTGCCTGGTCGGCGTCTTGCAGCGCGGGCGCAGTGTCCACTGGGGCAGTCGGCCCGCAAATGACTCCCTGTCGGCGTGGATCGTCCGACGGAGCCCAGCTCTTGAAAGCCCTGAGGCAGAATCCGTGTTCTGGTGGTCCCCTGGGCTGCGCTCTTAGCAGCGTCTTCTGGTGCAATTGCTTTTTGCTTTCCCTTCGCCAGCGCGGTAACTTCCGGCGCGGCTGTCTGGGCGGAATCCGGCTCTGCGCGCTGCTCAGCTTCGGCTGGCTCGGCAGGCTCGGGTCTGGTCGGACTGGAAGTCCGAATGAAGTCCTTGGGCAGAAAGCCCAGCGGCATGTCGGCGAGACGGCCGCGACGTCGTTCGTTCTTAGGGGCCTCTCGTGTAAGGCCACTGCACGCAGCTTAGGCGCGGCCTGACGTGAGGTGGCTGGCCTACTGTGACTGGCTGCTGCTTGCCCGTTCGGGTTGCGGCGCGCGCTGACATCACGCAGGCGCCGTATCCTGTGACGCGTCCATAGTGGGCGTCCCAGAGCTCCTGAAGCTCCTCAAGTGTGGGCTCGGCCGGGTCCCTGGGCTCGTTCTTCTGAGCGGCCGGGGCCTGCGCGGCACGAGCGTTCGCAAGGGGCGGCGCTGATGGCGCCCCATGCTGTAAGGCCTTGCATTCGGCCATATCATGCGTACTGGAGTTGTAATGCGTGCACCACTTCTTCGGCGCGCCGGGCGCCTGCTGCTTGGCGCGCTTCCTTGCGCATTGAGAAGCCCAG